CCATGATTCTTTATAAAACATCACCACTAACTCAGCGTCGGTTGATATTTTTAAAATATTTTGCATGATTGTGATATGAAAATGTTAAAATTATAAAAACAATATACATTAAAATACTTTAACAATTTAATATCTTTTTAAGCAGCGGTATCTCTATATAATCACTATTACCAAACGCTGTCGTATTAAATATCACAATTTGCTTACAATTTTGGAATCAACCGAATAGAAAACAGTGTAAATTCGATAAAAATTTCTTGCACGGGACTCGTTCGTTGAACTGACACAAGCAAATATCCAAATCAGGGATGGTATACGAACTAGGCTGCAACAAATTTGGCATGCTGAACCTGGCAACTGGAGTCCTCAACATTATCTTATGTTATCCAAACTCTGCATCAGAGTGGATCCAACGGCTAGCAAACAGAGCTAATAAATTTACGGGGAGACCTCACTAGAGGGCTCCCGTCTCGTGTCCATCTCTAGCTTGAGAGGCCACGTTCCAGTGACGTAACTCGACAAGGGGTCCTTTCACAATCATCAACACTTAACCTTTTTTAGGGACCCACCCCCGCCCTAAAAAATTGCACATGACGTAGGCTCATCGGAAAATATCCAGCTTCAATTGTTTTAAACTATATGTTAATATTTAAAACATATAAAAATATGTTATATTAATATACTTTAAATTAAAAAATATTTTTACAAAAATAAAATGCATGCATCTTATTACTAAGCACAATAATAATAGCTGAACAAAATCATTATCATGTCAGGAAATTAACCTTGTGTGCCTGGAAAGTAATCAGTTTTAAATAAAGCGGCTTTAACTGTTTTTCAAATGTTTTTTATTTAAAGGTGTATTGAAATAATATGTTTTTAATTTTTTTTTATATTAATATAATAAATTTATCTTCTTCCTCTTTTTTGTTAGAATTAAATTTTTATAAAATATTATCCGCTATATCGCGATCAACTTGTAAAAACAAGGGGTTGCCGAAGTAAGGGCCCAAAGTTTTTGGGTCAGTCAGTCATTTCACAGTAATCAGTAACACACCATAATAAAGTGAAAGGACACTACTCAGAGTGGGGCCTACCATTTTGTACTGGGATTGAGTTTGTATCTGAGTGGAGTTGGGTGGGCTTTGACACTTTTTTTTTTTTTTTTTATCTTTAATTTTACTTAACCTTTTTTAGGGACCCACCCCCGCCCTAAAAAATTGCACATGACGTAGGCTCATCGGAAAATATCCAGCTTCAATTGTTTTAAACTATATGTTAATATTTAAAACATATAAAAATATGTTATATTAATATACTTTAAATTAAAAAATATTTTTACAAAAATAAAATGCATGCATCTTATTACTAAGCACAATAATAATAGCTGAACAAAATCATTATCATGTCAGGAAATTAACCTTGTGTGCCTGGAAAGTAATCAGTTTAAAAAGAAACGGTTTTAACTGTTTAAAATGTTTTTTTATTTAAAAGTGTATTGAAATAATATATTTTTAAATTTTTTTTGATATTAATATAATAAATTTATCTTCTTCTTTTTCTTCTTCTTGTTAGAATTGAATTTTTATAAAATATTATCCTCTATATCGCGATCAACTTGTAAAAACAAGGGGTTGCCGAAGTAAGGGCCCAAAGGTT